CCAGCTTCCATCCAGAGGGCCTTCGGAGTGGTGAGTTGATTCGGGCCTGCGGCAGGGGCCCGGCGAGGAGGAGCTAGGACTTTCCCCGACCCCATAGACTCCCAGGTCAGCCTGCAGTGCTGTTTCCACCCTGCTAGGCTCTCCCGCCTGCCATCCCAGCTTCCATCCAGGTACAAATTTCTATATTTCTCCCCTCCCACTGAGGCCATAAAATTTCCCCAGTTCAGCTGCCTTGCACACTGGGCCTGCTCTGTAGGGGCATCCCAGAAAGAGGGAGTGCCTGTGCTTCAATACCCTGCCTGGGGAAAGGTAGGCATTCTATCAGTGAACTCCCTGCCCAACAAGGGAACCTGACCCGATACCAGAAGTTCCAATAGAGAGCATTTGATCGAAGAGATGGGCAGACGCCAAGGCAAGACCTCCTCCAACAATCTGAAAAAATACATGAAAATATCAGATCCCAACGACCCTACAACAGAAGGATTTGAACACTCTAACCCAGATGAAGTGGAAAAAAGTGCCATTATGAAAGCAATAGAGTCCCTTAAACAGGATATGAATAACTCCCTTAAGGAACTGGTCGAGAAGTATAACAAAAAGTTTGAAGAAATGAGTATAGAAATGGATGAGAAATATAACAAAAAGTTTGAAGAAATAAGTAAATCCGTGAGTGATACCCTGAGAAACCAAGAAAAAACAATCAAACAAGTAAAGGAAACAGTCCAAGAATTGAAAACTGAAATGGAGGCAATGAAGAAAACACAAAACGAGAACCGGCTGGATATGGAAAACCTAGGTAAACGAGCGGAGACTACAGAATCAAGCATAACCAATAGAATACAAGAGATAGAAGAACGAATCTCAGATTCTGAAGATACCATAGAGAAAATAAATGCTCTGGTCAGAGAGAACGGCAAATCCAACAAATTCTCTTCACAAAACATTCAGGAAATCTGGGACACAATAAAAAAACCAAATCTAAGAATAATAGGGATTGAAGAAGGAGAAGAACTGCAGATCAAAGGCCCAGAAAATATATTCAACAAAATTATAGAAGAAAACTTTCCCAACCTAAAGAACGATATTCCTATGAAGGTTCAAGAAGCATACAGAACACCGAATAGATTGGATCAGAAAAAAACATCCCTGTGCCATATAATAATCAAAACACAAAACATAAATATTAAAGAAAAAATTTTAAGAGCAGCAAAGGAAAAAGGTCAAGTAACTTATAAAGGTAAACCTATCAGGCTTACACCGGATTTCTCTATGGAAACCATGAAAGCCAGAAGATCCTGGATAGAGGTACTGCAGAAACTAAGAGACCATGGATGCAAACCCAGACTAATATACCCAGCCAAGCTATTGTTCACTATCAACGGAGAAAACAAAATATTCCAGGATAAAAACAAATTTAAACAATACGTAGCTACTAATCCAGCCTTACAGAGAATATTAGAAGGAAAATCACTACCGATGGAATCCAACATTCCCAACATGGCCTACAATAACTCGAACATCTAGCGACCATTCACAAGCACAAATCAAAGAAGAAAAACACATACACTCTACTACCTAAAAAAAAAAAATGACTGGAGTCAACAACCACTGGTCATTAATATCACTTAATATCAATGGACTCAATTCACCTATAAAGAGGCACAGACTTAGAGATTGGATATGAAAACAGGATCCAACATTCTGCTGTTTACAAGAAACACACCTCAACCACAAAGACAGACACTTACTCAGAGTAAAGGGTTGGGAAAAGGTTTTCCAAGCAAATGGACCTAAGAAACAAGCGGGCGTGGCCATTCTAATATCTAACAAAATCGACTTCAAACTAAAATCAATCAGAAGAAATGGAGATGGACATTTCATACTCATAACTGGAACAATTCATCAGGAGGAAGTCTCAATCCTGAATATCTATGCTCCTAATATAAAGGCACCCACATATGTAAAAGAAACTCTTCTAGAACTCAAGGCGGTCATCAAACCACACACACTAATAGTAGGAGACTTCAACACTCCTCTCTCACCAATGGACAGGTCAATCAGACAGAAACCAAACAGAGAATTGAGAGACCTATTGGAGGTATTGAATCAAATGGACTTAACAGACATCTATAGAACACTCCACCCAAATAGGAAAGAATATACCTTTTTCTCTGCAGCTCATGGAACCTTCTCGAAAATTGACCACATACTCAGTAACAAAGCAAACTTCCACAGATACAAAAAAATATTAGTAACTACCTGTGTCTTGTCAGATCACCATGGACTAAAATTAGAATTCAACAATAATGCTCCCCCCAGGAAGCCAACAAACTCATGGAAACTGAACAGTCAACTACTAAATCACCCCTGGGTCAAGGAAGAAATAAAGAAAGAAATTAAACTCTTCCTTGAATTTAATGAAAACAAAGACACAACATACTCAAACCTATGGGACACTATGAAAGCAGTGGTAAGAGGAAAGTTCATAGCACTAAGTGCCCAATTAAAGAAAGCAGAGAAAGCACACATTGGAGACTTAACAGCACACTTGAAAGATCTAGAAAAAAAAAGAAGCTGATTCACCCAGGAGGTCTAGAAGACTGGAAATAATCAAACTGAGGGCTGAAATCAACAAAATAGAAACAGAGAAAACAATCCAAAGAATCAATGAATCAAAAAGCTGGTTCTTGGAGAAAATCAACAAGATTGACAAACCCCTATCCAAGTTAATCAAACGGAAGAGAGAACATGCAAATTAATAAGATCAGAAATGAAAAGGGGGACATAACCACAGACACAGAGGAAATTCAGAGAATCATTAGATCTTACTATGAAAGTTTATATGCCACAAAGTTGGAAAATGTAAAAGAAATGGACATTTTTTTAGATAAGTACCATATACCAAAGTTTAACCAAGAACAGGTGAACAATCTAAATAGACCTGTTAGTCGCGAAGAATTAGAAGCTGTTATCAAAAATCTCCCTACCAAAAAAAGCCCAGGACCAGATGGTTTCAATGCAGAATTCTACCAGAACTTCCAGGAAGAGCTAATACCTATACTCCTTAAGGTATTCCACAATATAGAAACAGAAGAGTCATTGCCTAATTCCTTTTATGAAGCTACAGTTACCCTAATACCAAAACCACACAAAGACACAACCAAGAAAGAGAATTACAGGCCAATCTCACTCATGAACATCGACGCGAAAATTCTCAATAAAATACTGGCAAACCGAATCCAAGAGCACATTAGAAAAATTATCCATTATGATCAAGTCGGCTTCATTCCAGAGATGCAGGGCTGGTTAAACATACGCAAATCTATCAATGTAATCCATCATATAAATAAACTGAAAGAAAAAAACCATATGATCATCTCACTAGATGCTGAAAAAGCATTTGACAAAATTCAACA